TTCTTCTTCTTCTTCTTCTTCTTCTTCTTCTTCTTCTTCTTCATCATCTTGTCGTTGCATTGTAAAAACAGGTTTAAGGATTTTGGAGTTTGATATTATGGTATATGATGAAAAGCAAAATGGCTCTCGGACGCTTCTTAACGTACAAGGTAAGAAATGACGCTTTGTTAGAAAGCATTACAATACAAATACATAACATAATAACTTTAATATATTTTACCGCGAATATTCCGTAGGCATATGCTCACATGCACACAACGATAACGACGAAGGACGAAGGACGAAGGACGAAGGACCAATGACCAATGACCAATGACCAATGGCCAATGACCAATGACCAATGACCAATGACATTACAAGGATATTACAGCGGTTTCATTAATGATTGTATATTAAATGGAGTTATCGTTAGAAATCCACAAAGATTAGTTAATGAATTTTACATTTACATTAGTTTTTACTGTCATTACTGTCAATAGAGATTGCAAATTGTATCTGACGTCCAAAAGTTCACAACTGTCATAAAAAATGCATTACGGCAAACCACATTTTAATGGAACATTTGCCTTCTAGGACAAAGCCGTCTTCGTGGTCCAGATCTTGGTAATTATAAGAGTCTTTTTTTAGTTACTTGATCGGTGGATTGCTTACTTTTTATGTTGTTCATTATTTGGGTGATTTGTTGGTCTGTTCGATGATTGGCCGGTCGGAATAAGATAAGGGAATTTACTCATAAAAAACTTGAAGAGCACCTCGTATCCTCTGCCTCGGCCATCGATATCAAACCAAAAGGAGCATGGTCGCCATCTTGGCAATGTCACCTTAACTACCACAATTCCCTGCGCGCATCGCTTACGGCTGGAATTGCCCATTTCGGTTGGTTGGATGATTGGTGTTCTGTTATGGTCGTTCAATTAATTGTTGTTGTTTTTTTTTTATTTTTTTATTTTTTATTTTATTGGTCCATTTTTGTCCCCTTTGTTTACAGACTTCGTTCCTAATAAAGCCATTAGCAATAGAAATCGTTTCTATTAATTAACACCTGCAAGGACAATAATTTTCTTGCTTTCTGATCTTTCTTTCTTTCTATTTCAGGATTAGCTCAGAAATTGCCTTTTGGCCGTAAGTAAAAATGTTTTATGTCAATAAGATTTAGTATTTAACACATCTTGAAGCAGCACTGTGTACCTCTGGATCTTTCATGCAATATTTAAAGTGCCTATGACTCCTAACTCAATGGTTTTAGCATTGATTCTCATGAAGTTAAAAGTTGAATGGTAAAATATTTTTATATGATTTGATTGATGCATCTTGAAGATATCAAGGTTTATTGCTTACTATCAATCATGGGGGGCAAACAAGCGGTTGACTGGAGGGCAACTAGCGGATGCTAAGTCAAAACATGTAAAAATAAGTCCTCAAACTATTGTATTTGACTATTTTCACGACATCAAACCAGAAAACAAGAAATCAAAAAAACCTCCAGGATTCTACAAGCCATCAAAAAAGAGCTATTACCGGAAGTGACGTCTATTCATAGCAACCTATACTTCCAGTATGCTAATGAGTGTGATGTCATAGTAGGCATTATTAAATATACGAAAATTTACTGGGGTAGTAAAATATCCTGTACAAAATATAACTATCTTACTCAGGGTTTATAGAAAGGTTATTGCAAATTTGTTTCCTCATAGTAATCAGGGTTTTGATTTAAAAATGATGACAAATAAACCAAAATGCCTACTATGACATCACACTCATTAGCATACTGGAAGTATAAACCTTGATATCTTCAAAATGCATCATTCAAATCATATAAAAATATTTTACTATTTAACTTTTAACTTCGTAGAATTCCCCGATTAGTAAAGCACTTGTGCCCGGCTAGAAGATTAGAGACACTAATAAAGTTATTATTATTATTATTATTATTATTATTATTATTATTATCAATGGTGAAAACATTGAGTTGGGGGTCATAGACACTTTAAAAAAGCGTACTGAGTCGTCTCATTATCTACGTAGTGATGCTTTTTAGCATGTTTACATCCTATTGGTTATAAGAATTTCTTATTCATTTCTAGAATAATAAAAACAATACATCTGATGGCATTGTTTAAGAAATATATTAAATAAATCAAAATTGAATTTTAAAACCYTTTTCTTTAATGTTTCGCAGCTGTCGAATACGTAACAGGTATGTTTTACAACGGAAGCTATGTTGTAGTGCAAGTCGCATAGCCTGGGAGACAGAGCTCGAGGGTGGGGGAAACAAACCATATTTCTTTAGTGACATTTTTAAAGGAACCAAATTTGATATCCAAATAGTTCCCCGAAGATGAGGAAAAGAAACATTGTCGAGTTGGCATCTTACTATTTTAGGATGACTGTTTTATGAGAAATATTTCCATGATGGCGTCTACATATTTGATTAAAAAACAGTCGTCCCACAATGCACTGTCTTTCATGACAGAGCTGTCGTGACATGCAGCTCACGCTCCAAGTGCCAAGAAAGATTCCCCGGCTTTTTCTCGGACTGCTGATCAGTTCATTAATGCAATGAAGGTTAATTGTACCAGGGAGGTGTGAGTACAACRCAGTTTACTTTCAAACAAAAAATGTGAAAGGTGGTCAAAAAGCTTTTGATTTTACACATTCCTTTTATTCTTACAGAGACCTACTTTAAGGGTATGAAATTTCTCTCTGAACGATCGACAGAAGCCTTAAAACTCTAAAGAATTTTATTTTAATATTTAAATAACTTGATTCTCGAAAATGAAGGGGGAGGGTGGAGGGAGCGATTTGCTCGATACTTCCTGAAGCAACCGACATCAAAATAGTCCTTACGTTTTCAATCTTGTTAATAAATTGTCATTTATCATTGGTTTTCTTTCTTTCTTTCTTTCTTTTTTTGTTTTTTTTGTTTTTTTTGTTTTTTTCTTTTTTTGTATTTATTTCAGATAATGTTTTGCGATCGTACAGAAATACAGGTAAAAATAGCTATAACTGTCCTATAAGCATATTATACATTCATATATATGCCAACCACATCTAACAACCACCCACCTACCCGCCTACCTTATACAAAATAACGACAATGTGATGCTTATTCTAGGATTTATACGGTCTCATCCAAATTACCACGGTGAGTATTTGATAATTGATATTAGCACGACCATACTATCTAAAAACAGAGAAAGAAATAAAACGATTCAAATTTTATTAGAATCAAAACGTTTCTTCTACGTATATATGACATTTTTAAGGTGACTGCCTACTTTTGACCGTTCGATTTGAGCCCACGACGTGCGCGCGCTTAAAAACCGCAAAAAAATCTACAAGATTTTACAAGAACCATACGCGTTTTGAGCTTCAACAGGGCAAAACCCTCAAATTTGCACGGGACTCTCTATCTTTTAATAGCTCATTCGAAAAAACTCCTAAAAATCTAGGTTATATCAACATTCTAGAAAAAGTTTTAATCAGTAACACATGAAAAAATAGATTTTTGTAGGGATTTTTGTTCGACTTTATGAGATTTTTTAAGAGCACCAAAACTACAAAATATGACAAATCAATGTATCTCTTTGTCTTTCTGTTGAAAATATCCATGTGTTATTGTAGAACGATTCATTCGTGCAATCATATAGTCTGCAAATAACTATTATCTTATGAATCTTAATTCACCTTTTCGGCGCTAGCCATCACGGGGTATAAATTGTTTTAGTAGAAATATATTGAAAATTTCGCGCGCTGATTGGTCGAGAAACTCACACTATCACACGATAATCTCCTCCAGCGATAATTCAAAATGGCGGCCAACCGCTTTGTTGCTGTTACCGGAAAAAATGTGTCTGTTATCTTCTTTTTTTCCTTTTTTTGAAAGAATCACCTGTGTGTTTATACTAAAACAATTATTTGCCTCAGCCTCAGTGAATTTACCGAGACGCGAGTCTTCGAGGGGCGAGGTAAATATTCCCCGATATTCACTTCGCCTTCGGCGAATAATTGTTAATTAGAATGTGTTACGGTCATCAAAAAGTTTCCAAGCTAGCGCCGAAAAGGTGAATTTTTTTTTAATCACTTCCGGTGGCGTGAGTTTTGCTCCGAAAGCTCGCGCGTAGACTTCCATTAAATGCTGATTATCTCGAAAACAAGCTCGGGGCACCCAATTTTTCTTTCCAGATTTGGAATCAGCATTAAATTTCAATTCGGAAAATCGAAGTTTTAAAAGAAGTTTAAATTGTTCTCCAAAAATAGGCAGTCACCTTAATATCCAAGTTTTCGGGCCCCTTTCAGTTCCGATGATGAAATGAAATTAGAATTTCATTCATGAATTAAATTTTGCGCGTGCATATAAAATAAGATTGTTCTAATAACATGTTCTAATTTCTTCATAAGAGGAAGATAATTTCATGGAAATGACATTAAAAATATCAAATGTACGTAGAAGAAACGCTTTGAATTTGATAACCATTGATAACCATGGGCATATGCGCATTTGAGTATTTATATAGAAAATGCTCAATATAAGTATTAAACATTATTGTTATTATTATTATTGTTATTATTATTATTAATATTTAACCATGTTAACTACGTAAAACATACTCAATATGATTCAAATTTTGTTTGCTGGCTAGCTGCTAATTCTAATATTCTAAGGTCTAGATCCAAGTTGGTGGGAAACTTTGGTATATTCCTTTGACACAATGTATGTAGAATTGGGACAAACTATTCATTTTCAAGGTAATTATTAAAACAATTTTCCAAAAATATAACTGGAAGATATTGTTAGGTCAAAAGCTTTGTAAATTATTATTACTATTACTAATGGCTGGTCAGGAGAAGTGCGGACTCATCCTGGGAACGTGTTCTCGGTTGCTTTTTAATTTTATTATATCTATTTCAAGATCTTAAGCAAATCCTGAAATCTGATTTGTTTGTAGCAGTACAGATGCCAGATTAAATTGCGCCATTTCGATATATCAAGAAATCTTAAATTTGATCTTAAACATAAAATAATCAAAGAATAATAAGATCAAGGTTTAACATTTGTACGACACACTTCATCATTTGTTCAAAAGTAGTTATGTAACCACTACACAATGGAGATTAGTTATGTATTCATTTGGCCTCGTACATAACCTACATCGTGGCAAATACACAAACAAACCACGCTAAACTATCGGGAATTTGTTAAATTGACAACGATATGACGTTGGCAGTTGGTCAAAATGTTATGTTCTCACGAGATTTAGCGGAGTGGGTACATAACTAATATTGATCAACTTTTTCTTGACAGTCAAATACAGAAACTGGTGTATTTCGATGTCTTATGACAATTGCTCAGTACAGCTTGAATTAAGCTTCCTGAACACCATTTACAAAGTTGAGGATGCTGTACCTACGGAAACTGAAGAAAARACGTTAAGTCTTGAATACATTGTGGAGCAAAAGCCGGGAGACTATGTCATAGAGGTAATGTAAGAACATATATTCAGCCGGGGACAATGATTTATATCCATCGCATTCTCAATATCAAAACAATTCTATCACCATATACTATCCCATTTTTCCTTTTCTTCCTCACTTCTCATTTTCACTTCTTTTCCCCATCTTATTTACCACAACAAACAGTTTCTCTTATGACTGGGTTAAATTACATATGCCACCTTTAACAAAAAATACTTTTCTTTCTTTGACATCATTCCAGTTTGTCTACTCATTCCCCAAGGATCCTGCTGGTTTTGTTGCCCGTCGCAAAGTGGCAAATGTTTTTGTAAAAGGTACTGCTGGCCGATCGTAGAATGAACATACGTCCATGAGAGAGGGCCATCAACTTTTATGCACAGCCAAAACAGTATTAACAGTATTTTCATTCAAATCAAAGTTCTGTCACTATAGAAGACTGACAAACATTGGAAAGGGTCACGATGTTTATTTCCTTCAAGGGTTGTTGGTTATTTCTATGATAGTACATGTGGATTCTTCCGACCCTCCCTTGGGAAACGTATTAAAAAATGCGAAATTATTTCAGTTTCGACCTAGTGTTTAGTTATCCTGTTCAATAGTGTTTTAAGTTACGCTAGTATGTTTTCAAGGGTTGAAAAATTGAACCTTTGACAATATATAAACACGGGATTTTATAGTTCCTGCTCCAAAAAACACCCCGTTTTTGCGAAGGAATGATCCTTGCCCGTCCTTTTCGTCTTCCAACCCCTGTTCGTGAAATCTCAGATTTTTCTGCTTTTCTATTGTAACTCCTTAAGTTATTTGCTGTAATTATTGATCCGTGTTTATTCTTATCTGTTTTGTAGTTGCAATTATACAAAAGGATGATTTTAAACTAGACAGTGGAAAATGGACGAGGTTTGGTAATATAAGTTGGAATACAGGTAAATGACTAAGGCATCGTCCACATGACATATATGAATTGGTAGTTCGGTCAGTTAGTTCAAATTTCATGTTTGGATCGCTCACAGCATGGTTGGGCAGATTGTTTACAGCATCTATAATTTGCATTATTTTCGTGAACGTTTTAGAAACTTCCGAATCCTTTGTAAACAAGAGTGTAGCTGTTGAATGTCCGCTGTTAAAATGGAAGCCAAGTTATAGTAAGATCAAATTCTGTCTTGAATTTGACTACTTGCTTTCTCACAACACGACTTCATCTTTGACAATTCTCTTAAAAACTGAAAGTGGTAGCTCTCAGTTGTTATGGCAAGTACGAGGTTTCCGACCTCGGGCAAATGGCAAACTACAATTCAATTTTACAAAGAATTCAAAGGTAAGTGCTCATAGTGAATGCACTTTATTAAAGTTAAATTTTTCGATTACTCAAGATCTTTTTTCTTTT